AGGCCAGGGAATTTCTAGAAGCCTGGCACTCTAACAAATTAGCCATCTATAGACTATGCAAAATAGATAATCACCCAGTCCAAAAGGGAACAAAAAGACCCCCCCCCCGCACCAATCCACCAGCAATCAGCACCCAGATCAGCATAACTCCAAGGTTAACATCAGACCAACAACCAAGTAAACAATACCCCAATCAAGAAACTACCAAAGAAGCCAACAACAAACAGCCCAGCCAAAGAATCTTTAAGACTGCCCTCACTGACAGGGCAAGCCACCAGAATATAAACTGACAGCAAACTGCACTCCTTACTAGCACTGATGATGTTGCCTAGTTTGGGTAATGAAACGTCTGCAAGAAAACATGCAAGCTCGGAGAGCACCAAGGACCCCTTATGTCAACCCTGAGCTAAAATAGTCTCCTTTATTAGTAAACTCTGAAAGTCAATGGTAATTACGAATTAAGGTTTAAGAGGTGCGTTGACGGACTTTCCGAAAGGGAATCTAATGAGACTGACATTAACCCGAATCAACTGCAGGCATTTTACGACTTCGTGGCTCAGAGATTACTCCCACTTCTTTCCAGGGGTCTCCCTCCCAGGAAAGCCTGCAACCCAGATACTCTTCCGGATTGGACGCGGGTTTGGCCGGGCGTGGACTACCAATTTGGCGGCGGGACTGACCGCCCGCGTTCCAACCTTGGATCATTGGCGCCTCCAGCGTTCCAAGGACGGGGGGGGGAAGGGAGGAGAGGGCAGAAGTTGGTCTGCTTACCTGCCGGAAAGTCTCTTTCCACGGTGGGGTCCGGAAACTCTTATAAAGAGCCTGGTGCCGCGGCAACAAGCCCGCCATGGCAAATCCACTCCGGCGGCAAAACAAATGTGGGCGGGATTAGCCGTTGGATTTACATGGCAAGCTCCGCCACCCCCATCCGCCAAACTAAAGCATGCCGGGAAATGGAGTCAGGCAAAGTACCTTGGCGCCCGTTGCATGATGGGAAACACTTTGCTCCCTGCCTTGCTATCACAGAATATTTCTGGTGCTTGATGGGTATCGCGTAGACGTGAATATCATTAGTTTGCTAGGAGAAACTATAGCAAAGTAAAGTTTTTTCAAGCCAGTGTTGGAGGGATACGACACTAGGTATGTTAGGACACTAGGATACGACACGAACCACGAAGGGTAGCTCTTTGCTGCCTTAATTGGTCTCCAGTTTTAAGTCTCTCTTCCTTTTATGGGCTTGGGAGAAAAAAAGATTCTGTCGGGCCATTGTGGTATGGTTAAATGCAATGGGGAAAGTTACAGATTTTGGTCCCAGGCTCTGGTAAATATCGTTGATTATGTGCCATCAAGTCAGTGTCAACTCTTAGGCTAGTAATGCCACCTATAACATGCCAACTCATGGCATTGTGGGGAAAATAGGAAGCAGGAATGTGATGTGCACTGCCTTAAGTTGTATAATTACAGTAGAAGGTGACTTGCTGATCTAACATTGTGACAAATAGCATTACTTGTCAATACTGCTCCATTATTCTTTCCATTGAAATGGAGATGATGTTCTAGAAAATGGGTGCCATGGCAGAAAAGGCTCTCCTCCAGGATCCCATCAGATGAAACTATTTGCTCTTAAAAAAAAAACTTTAATGCTGCTTTTATTGTTAATTGTCCAGAGTCATGAATTTGAGATGGGCAGCCATGTAACTTGAAATAATAAAATAAATCAATTATTCATCTTGAAATCTCAACAGATTTGATGATCTTATGAAATTTCAAATGAAAACAACAATATACTGATAGGCTTTCACAGCAGGCATCAGTGAAGTGGTGATGGGCTTTCAAGCTGAATGGTGGTGGCTTACTGTCCATGGCGTTTTGTTCTGACTTTTGGCTGTAGCTGTAGTGGTAAACCTCTCTGCAATTTACAGGGAACTTTTGGTCACTATCTACCGGTATAGAAAAAATATATAACTTCACCCCTAAATCCTTTCCTAATAATTCCACTGCCTGGCTCTCCTGTGAGGCAAAATTTGTCTTTGTGAGTGCCATGAGAAGCAACAAATCATGCTACCTTTAATGACTGTTTTTACTTCCAGGAATAGGGAAAAGTATTCGCTGAAGTTTCCACTTTAAGGGCTAGAACCGTCTAACAATGCACACACTGAGAAAGATCAGCTTGGTCTCAACAAGCAAAAATATGTTGTGATAAAACACTATTATAACATTCTGCCCATTTCTCACTTGAAACACAGTCTTGATTGCAGCACATCTCAGCCTCTTTGAATTGCTCACTCAAAAACCACTCCTTGCCCCATAATTCTTGAGCTGGGTACTTTTCAATGTGAGGGGTCCTTGGTGCTCTCTGAGCTTGCTTGTTTTCTTGCAGACATTTCATTATTCTAACTAGGTAACATCATCGGTGCTAGTAAGGAGTGCTGTTTGTTGTCTGTTTATATTCTGGTGTCTTGCCTCTCTGTGTGGTTGGGGGCTGTCTTAGGGATTCTTTGGTTGGGCTGTTTACTAATGGCTCTGGCAGTTTCTCCATTGGGGTATTGTTTACTTGATTGTTGGTCTGAAGGTGACCTGGAGTTAATCTATTCTATGCTGATCTGAGTGCTGATTACTGGTGGAGAAGTGCTGGAGTCTTTTTCTCTTTTGGGCTGGCTGATTGTCTCTTTTGCATAAGCATAGATCAGCATAGATTAACTCCAAAGTCACCTTCAGATCAACAATCAAGTAAGCAATACCCCAATCAAGAAACTGCCACAGAGCCATTAGTAAACAGCCCAACCAAAGAATCCCTAAAACTGCACCCACCCAGACAGGCAAAACACCAGAAAATAAACAGACAGTAAACGGCACTCCTTACTAGCACTGATGATATTACCTAGTTAGAGTAATGAAATGTCTGCAAGAAAACAAGCAAGCTCAGAGAGCATTGAGGACCCCTCATTTCAACCCTGAGTTACAAATATTCTCCTTCATTGGTACTTTTCAATGTATTTGACAAATTCCATCACAGGTAGCTTATGGGGGAAAATTGGGTAATAGTTCAAATACATCTGGATTTACTAAGTTGAAAAAGAGATGGCTTGCACACAGAGATGGTCAGATACCAAAACAGGACACCTCCCTTTTATTAATATTATCTGCTCACAACAATGTAATCAGAGTCTGGCTTGTTAATCTATTAGCAAACTATTAGGTGCTTTTGCAACTGAATAATGAATTAATTTCAACCAAAGCCTCTGTCTTATTACTCTATTGGTGCTTTCAGTCAAATTCAGTCAATCAGCATCCACTTTGGTATCTGTTAGCAAAGAGATAAGGGTGTGTGTGACCACAAACGCTTCATATGTAAGCAATGTCAATCTAGTTGGCAGGATGTGGCTTTGTAACTGTATTGAAGAGTTTTGCAAGTGGGCTCATTACTAGAACAAGCAAAGGTAATTTGCAGCATTAAATTTAGTCCTTTGGGCAAAGGTCCAGAGTTAAAACAGTTTATCATTAGTGTGTTAAAAACACACCAGAGGGTGAAGAACTTAGGTAATTAAATGCACTCCTCCCATGCTTATTAGATTTTAGCCTAAACTGCACAGCTTCAATAAATCAAGAACAAGTGATAAAACCCAATTTCTTGCTCAGTGTGATTGTTGATTAATTGTGCTGGGTAAAATGAACCAGTGTTGGGCTTGGCCAACAGTTAAGTGGTAGCTGCTGATTGTTTGGCTAGTGTTGGCCTTCATACACATCAATTTCTTCCCAAGGTTGTTTAGATTTTTATCCTGACTTTTATATATTTTGGTCAAGTCAAGGCAATGAATACAGATAATCCTCGACTTAACAACAGTTCCTTTAGTGACCAAAGTTACAGCAGCATTTTTCACACATCATTGTTGCAGCATCCCCATGGTCATGTCATCAAAATTCAGATGCTTGGCAAGTGGTTCATATTTATGACAGTTATAGTCCCCCAGGATCATGTGATCACTTTTTGCTGCCTTCTGATGAGCAAAGTCAATAGGGAAGACAGGCTCACTTAACACTTAAGTGACTCACTTAAATTAGTCACTTAGGTTACTAACTTAACTGCAATGATTCACTTATCTGTAGCCAGAAAGTTAAAATGGAGCAAAACTCACTTAACAAATGTCTTGCTTAGCAACATAAATGTTGGGCTAAATTGTGGTTGTAAGTCAAGGACTATCTGTGTTCCAACCTAGAACTAAGGAAAAACTTCCTGACAGTTAGAACAATTAGCCAGTGGAACAACCTGCTTCCAGAATCGGTGAATGCTCCAACACTGGAAGTTTTTAAGAAGAGACTGGACAACCATTTGTCCGAAATGGTGTAGGGTTTCCTGCCTGAGCAGGGGGTTGGACTCGATGACCTCCAAGGTCCCTTCCATCATCATCATCATCATTCCTGCTTCTATTTTGCCCTCAATGCCCCCATGAGGTGGAGTGGACTAGAATAAAATAGGAGCTGGAAGGGACCTTGGAGGTCTTCTAGTCCAGTCCCCTCCTCAAGCAGGAGGACCTATACCAGGGGTAGGCAACCTTGGCTCTTTTATGACTCGTGGACATCAACTCCCAGAATTCCTGAGCCAGCTGGCTCAGGAATTCTGGGAGGTGACGTCCACGAGTCATAAAAGAGCCAAGGTTACCTATCCCTGATCTATACCATCTCAAACGGGTGATTACCCAGTCTCTTTTTAAAAATTTCCAGCGATGGAGCACCCACAATTTCTGGGCTGAGAAGTGAAACATCCAAAGTCACCTGGACGGTTTTCATGCACAAGGGAGGCCAAGAATTGACTGTCTCCTGCTTTCCAAGCCAGCACTTTAATTGTATTTCTCAATGATATATTTCCCCTTTGGAGGGAGGGAGGAAAAACTTCCACAACTTCTTGGATTTATTTCTAACCGGAGAGCGGGGAGAAGAGTTAAAACCCGCCAAGCAACTTTTAAGTACTCTATGGTCGCCGCCGAAATGCACGCTGGGAGCTGTAGTTCTGCAGTCTGAGGTGGCCGGATAAGAACCGTTTAGTCGCTACTAAGCGACCGGCGTTCCACTCGCCTCGCTGAAATAACCATGGCGGCGGCTGTGTCGCCGGGTTTAGGAGAGCATTGGTGGGCCGAACTGCCTCGCCATGTCGTGCTGGGTCGCCTGAGAGAGCAGGCCTCTGAAGCCGAGCCGGAGACAGAGCAAGCCAGGCCAGCCCTTCCGAGAGATCTGATGTTTGGCATCGGCGGGGAACTCTTCCTGTGGGACCGCGAACGTGCCGCCTTTTGCGTCCTCAACCTGAGGCACCTTGGCGACGACCCGGACAGCTTGGGCGGGTACCAGGTGGGGCGTTTCTTGAGCGAGTCTCCTGGTTCTTAGAGGGAAGGCCAGGTCACGGAGACTCCTTTCATAGTGATGATATTGATGATGCTAATCATAATTGGGTGCTGTAGAGAAAGCCCGTTCTCTTGGAAGGCTTGTTCCAGTTTCATCTCCATCTGGAAATACTACATCTTCCTCTGTTTTAGAGGAAGAAAAATATCTGATATTTAGAGCAGTAGATCTAGAAGAATTTAAGCTTCACCTTGCTGAAATGCTAGCATTTTGTTTGTGGGAACCTTTCCTTTGCCTAAGAAAGAACATGTCTGTAAACTTTGTGCATCACGTTTGGGGAAGGAGCATTCCCCTACTTCCCTTAGGCTGTATTTACCTTATGCATACAGCCATATATGCACAGACAACCTCATTTTTGTCCCAAGTGTTGAATGTGTAAATTTGGGTTGAATCAGAAAAGTTCAGTTTTCCATGGAAAAATGAGGGTATTCATTGTGCAGAAATATAAGTGGCATCTGTAAGAGAAAGCAAGACTGTAACTGTTCTTGAACTCCTATTTGGCAGCAAAGTTAATGTCCACTAACTTTCACAGACCCTTTAAATTATACTAAATATAATTTTATATCTGGGATTGCAATTGGCTTTTAATTGTTTTTTAGCATTTAATGTCACTTATTCTCAAAATGCAAACTCTGACATACAAATTATTTATCGTATTTGTGTAGCTGCCCATCTCACAAGAGAATGACTCTGGGCAGCGTACAATATTTAATTAAAGAAAATAGTTATAAAAAATATTAAAAGCTATAAAAATTGTCTTTCCATTGAACTTTGTTTGTAGATGAAAAATACTACAAATATTGGTTAGTTGGTAGGTAGGTTAATTGAAGATGCATGAAAAAAATGGTCATGTGAATGCTTGATCTTACCTGTAGTGTGAAGCAGTATAGTCTCCAAACAGTCTTGAAATTTTTGTGAGATTTTTTTTCCTGTAATTCTTTTCTGTTCTTATTTTACATAAGTTGGCAAGTCAAAAGAAATGCAATTTAGTTTTTGCTAAACAGGGAAAATCCAAAAAGGTACATAAATAAGACAATATAAAGCTTCATTGAAAAACCAGGAATTGTTTTCCATAGTGTCAAAAGACTATCCATCACACATCTGTTTCAGCTGGAAGAATGAATAATTCCTTTTGCCTGTGTCTGCCAACTTCTTAATCATCTATTGTAATTATGAATCTAGTCCTTGAACATTGGCAGTTACTAGTAATACTACAAAAGCTTCATTTTGTGTGAACACAGCCATTATGTTTTGTAGATTGTGGTTCATGGCTTTGGACGTTGTGGAAATATACCCAATTTAAGTTTATTCAACAAATCATGATTAAGCAAAGCAAGGCTTAGCATAGTATGTCAGTCTTATGCTAGTTAGAAATGTCTCTAATCAAATCTATTTTTGTTTTCAGATTCTTCTTTGCATAAATTCACCCTTTTTTGAAGTGTATCAAACTTCTTTAAGTCCTATGCAACAGCATGTAGCTCTCATAGGAACAAAAGGATTAATGGTGTTGGAGTTACCTAAGCGTTGGGGGAAGAATTCTGAATTTGAAGGTGGAAAATCTACCATTAATTGTAGGTATGTAGAATTTCCATTCATCTTGATTATCAACTTTAGAATCACCTAAATCACCGTTATCACGTCCCTTTTTGTATCTTTGAAAATGGTTCATCATTTCCGTTAAATCTACTTACAATATGGAGGTAGATGCTAAAGATTTCAGTGAAAAAGCAGGTGTGTACATTTGAAGAAAATTTCTCATGAAAGTGTTCTGGAAAGCAGTTTTGGACTAGAAAAGGAGGATGAGATTGAGGTTGCAGGGAGAATTTTTAATAAGGGTCAACTGGGAAAGCAATCAAAAATATCAAACCATTCTAATCTATGTCTCTGATAGCAGGTTGGCCTACAAGTCAGTGGATAAATTTTTCATAGCATAGACATTGTAAGCATGTAATTTGCTGGTTAGAGCATTGCAATAGATGAATGAATGGTAGATCCTTTGTGGCTGAAATGCAGACATGTGTTTTCCAGTACCATACCTATTGCTGAAAGATTCTTCACCAGTTCATCATCTCTGACCCTGAAGCATGCTTCTTGGTACCCCAGTGAGATTCTGGAGCCCCATGTTGTGCTATTAACATCTGACAACACAATAAGGTAACATTTTTTTGCTCTGAATAGATTGCATTTAAGAGAGTTATAACTCCAAAGAAACATAAAAACAGATCTCAATAAGGCCATCTTTTATTTTTATGGTTACTTCTGCTGCTGCCAAAAAAATCCAAATATGATTTACCATAACTGAAATGTACACTTATAGATATTCAGGCTGAAGAAATAATCATGTGGAATGTTTTTTGTTTCTTTCTTTAATAGGATTTATAGTTTGAGTTCTCCCCAGACACCTGTGAAAGTGATAACTCTTTCGGACGCTGATGAGGAAACACTGAGACTTAATAAGGGGTAAGATTGAATCTTCCTCCTCTCCAGGCACACTCTGCCTTTGTTTGTCTGAAAAATGGACCTGTGTTTTTAGAGTCACTGCAGAATAAGTACCGTATCTGCCTTTTCTGCTTCAGGAGAACATATACAGCATTGATAGGAGAGACTGCCGTGGCATTTGACTTTGGACCTCTAGCAGTACTTCCTAAGAACATAACTGGTCAGAGAGAGAAAGAGGATGTGCTGGCATATCCTACGTATATCCTGTATGAAAATGGAGAGACTTTTCTGATCTACATTAATCTCTTGCACAGGTAAAGACTTAGTTGAGAAAGTTCACTTCGTGGCATTCAGTTCGCCTATCTGCACTAGAGAGTTTGTGTTCAAATATAGTTTATAAAATTGTTTTAAAAGGCTGAATGGAAATAAATAAATGAATGTTTATAAATAACACTTCATCTTCTGCCACTGGTACCGTGCCTCAGTAAGTTTTGAGTATTCCATCGCTGGCAGGTTTTGTATTAGCTATTCAGATATTCTCCCATTGGGCTAACATTTGGGGCACTGCAGTGAAACTGATGAAGAGTCAAAGACCAAACAAAGTATTTACATCCAACGCAAGACAAATATATGGAGGATGTTTCATAGTTATGAATAAAGCAACACTATTAGGACACCTAAAAAGTCTGGTTAATTACATTTGATTTTTAAGAAGGCAGTATCTAAGAATTCTCCATTCTGTCCATAGCAGTGTTTAGAGCTATGTCACTTCTCTGAAGTGTGGCTCAAGTGATTGCTTCCAGGAATGACATTACATTAGACTTTGCAAAATACAAGCTTTTTTGTTTGTTCTCGGAATAAATATTAAATATGAGAGACCATGGAACATTCTTAGCTCCTGGTGACTCGGGTTTAAAAAGTTTCCTTTTTCAAGCAGTTAGTTTGGTTTATTTGGCAGGAGAGGGATGATGAAAGAATGATATTAAACAATTTCCCATTCATCTTGAAAATATTTTTATTCTAGCACCAGTAACCTTGGCAAGCTGCTGGGCCCAATGCCAATGTATCCTGCAGCTGAAGACAATTATGGCTACGATGCTTGTGCAGTTCTCTGTCTTCCATGTGTTCCTAACATCCTAGTGATTGCTACCGAATCGGGAATGCTTTACCATTGTGTGGTACTAGAAGGAGAAGAAGATGATGAACAGATGGTATGTTACTGCTACAGTTTGCACTTTTGAAAAAAAAAGTCTTGATATATGGGAGGAATCTCTAGTTCAGTAGTAAAACAAAAAGTTCTGCACGCAGAAAGCTCTAACATTGTCCAGATGAAAGAATCAAATTTTAATTGCTAGAACAAATCCATGCCTTGAGCACCTAAAAAATAGCTTTTTCTACAAGAAACAATCCCAACTATAGGGTGAAATGACCTGAGTATAAAATCCCTTAAAACATTTGTGTATATTTTTAGGCATCTGACTGCACAAGAGATCATTTACTGTATTTCCAGATTTCTTATAGCGATCTTGCATATTAATTTGAGTTATAATAAACAGTGTAATGTTTGTGAATAGCCTATGGGTTGCATATTGCTCCCCAGCTTTTTTCACTGCTGTCATTCAGTAATAAAATGACTTGTGGACTTCAACTCCCAGAATTCCTCAGCCAGAGTGCCTGGCTGAGGAATTCTGGGAGTTGAAGTCCACAAGTCATAAAAGTGCCAAATCTGAAGACCTTGCCTTACAGTTATATTGCTATTGACTTCAAACACAACAGTTTGAAATATGTGATCTCTTATCCTAACCATTCAATAGACTGCTGGAAAAGGGAGAATGTGCCCTTGACAGACATTTAAACTGATTGATTACTGATTGAAGTTAAATTGAATGTACTCCATGCATTTCTGCTCCATCTCCATGGAATAATGCTTCTAAGTCAGTGTTTCTCAACCTTGACAATTTTAAGGCATATGGACTTCAACTCCCAGAATTCCACAGCTCTGGCTGTGGAATTCTGGGAGTTGAAGTCCACATGCCTTAAAATTGTCAAGGTTGAGAAACACTGTTTAAGTGAATTTAACAGAGCCCTGGTGGTGCAGTGGTTAAAATGCAGTACTGCAGGCAAACTCTGCCCATAGCTTGGAGCTTGATCCTCACAGGACTCAAGGTTGACTCAGCCTTCCATCATTCTGAGGTTGGTAAAATCAGGAAATCACTTTGCTCGTAAAAGACCCTTGCTCACTCTCACTTTGCTTACAAAAGCCCCTTTTTTCACTCACTCACACTTTGCTCTCAAAAGCCCCTCGCTTGCTCTCTTACTCACACTTTGCTCGCAAAAGCTTCTCACTTTCACTCACTCACTTTGCTTGCAAAAGCCCCTTGCTCGCTCTCGCTCTCGCTTTCACTCTCACTTTGCTTACAAAAGCCTTTTTTCACTCACTCACACTTTGCTCTCAAAAGCCCCTTGCTTGCTCTCTTACTCATACTTTGCTCACAAAAGCCTCTCACTTTCACTCACTTTGCTCGCAAAAGCCCCTCGCTCGCTCTTACTCACACTTTGCTTGCAAAAGCCTCTCACTTTCACTCACTCACTTTGCTTGTAAAAGCCCCTTGCTCGCTCTCGCTTTCATTCTCACTTTGCTTACAAAAGCCCCTTTTTTCACTCACTCACACTTTGCTCGCAAAAGCCCCTCGCTTGCTCTTACTCATACTTTGCTCACAAAAGCCTCTCACTTTCACTCACTTTGCTCGCAAAAGCCCCTTGTTCGCTCTCGCTCTTTCACTCACTCACCCTTCGCTCACAAAGGGCACTCGCTCTCTCCTCCTTGCTTCGCTAACAAAAGCCTCTTCTTTCTCTGTGTTTTTTTTTCTCTCCTTCTCCCGCCAAAACTTGCTCCTTTTATAGCTCCTCCTCTCTCTGCCCTCCTCCTTTTCTCTTCTGGATTCGCTGGAAGCTCCAACCAGCATGCAGTTGCGCATGCAGATCCTGGGGCCTCTGCTGAACCCTGCAGCTCCAGCTGATCTCCTCCAGGCCTGTGTGGCGCCGCTTTACCTCATTCCCTCCCCTGCTATACTTGGCTAGGGCTCGCGTATCACCTGCCAGGTGCTAAAGTACTACCGGCTGAAAAGCCCTGCTATAAAGTGCCATGGGGCGGTATATAAGACTAAATGCTACTGCTTATTAACCTGATGTGTCTCAAGGGATCATGACTTGAAACCCGTTAATAGAATCATTCCATTTCCCCTGCAGTCTGTCAAGTCTTGGGATTCCCGATCTGACCTCATTCCATCACTCTATGTGTTTGAGTGTGTTGAATTGGAACTTGCCCTGAGATTAGCCTCCAGAGAAGGGGAAGAACCTATAGAGTCAGATTTCTCTTGTCCAATGAAATTGCACAGAGGTAAGAACACAAGTCATTATTTTTTCTTTTGTTCTCTTTTACCGTGTCCATTTAATATCTGATAAACCTGCCTTTTAGAGCATATAACAAAATATTTTTTTTTTTTAAATCCAGCACTGCACCTGGAGTATGGAAGTTAAAAATACTGTTTAATTCTAAGGTTGGCTGGAGGGCTGTGGATCTTCCACAGTCTTTCAGCCTAATCTACTTTATAGAACAATTGAGACAATCAAATGGAAGAAGGAGAGTTGCAAATGTGACCTTGAAGTCACTTTTATTAAGACTTAATGTAGGCTTAGTTGAACACAGATGATTTTTTTTAAGTAGACATGCACAGCATTGTACCATGAGTCACTAAAAGTAATACAGTATGTAAACATATAATGTTTGTCATCTATCTACACACTTTAAATTTTGAGCAGAAATGGCAAATAATCAGAGGCAAATAATTTCCTATTCCAATTATATCATTTTTTTAGATACAGTCAAAGCAACATTGTTTCTGTAAATCCCTTGCCTTATTTTTCAAGTTGTGTTACTATACAATCATGAGCAACTGAAGTTTTGGGAGATGATGGAACTGGTTCATGTAAGAAACTTGGCAGATTTCCATTTTTAAACTCATTATCAAACACATGAGGTGTGAAATGTTTGTCTTGTGTCAATTTGGCCATCTATTAACACAAATCTTGTTTATATTTCTCAGATCCCAAATGTCCTTCTCGCTACCACTGCACACATGATGCTGGTGTACATAGTATTGGACTCCCCTGGATCAACAAACTACACAAATTCCTTGGTTCTGGTAAGTCAATCCACCTGGCTTGTAATTCGGTTTTTGTTAAAAGTACACATTTAGGTTCTTGCCATTGCCTTGAGTTTAACATTCATGAAAAAGGTAAGATACTAATGTGTTCATAACTAGCCTTCGATTTTGGTGGTTTCTTTTTTCTTTTTTTTGTAAAAAAATTTTATTTTCAATTTTGCAATACATTACATTCATAATAATACTTCAGATAAAAAATAAAACAAATTGATACACACATTCAGTATTGCTCACCCATTTCCCCCCAAACCGCACCCACCCTCTAACCTACTTCCCTCTTTCCTTCTTCTTCCTCACTCTCCCCCTCTCCTCCTTCTCCTCAACCTTCCTACTTGCTTCTCCCCTTCTTCCTGTCTTCTCGCTCCGGATGCGGTCCAGGGGAAATGCCCGAGCAATTCCTCTCTCCAAATTAAAACATCAATATTATATACAATAAAACTATTTCTACTTATCTGAACTACTTAAACTTGAACCCATCTTCCCCCCACCCCCCAACCCCCTCCCCCCTCCTCCCCCCCCTTCCCAGAGCCAAGTACAGGGTTATACAAACATATTAAACATAATCTATTTAAGTTTACTAATTATACAATAACTCAAATCATACTAACCCTTAACTCTCTTTAAACTTTAACATCATAAGTTTAGATTTTGGTGGTTTCTGATCTTTGGAGTGCTCTCTGATATTTGGAAAGCAAATACTGATATATTTTCTATGTCAATATTGGATCCTATTTTTCATCAGAACTTTCTGTGAGAGCATGTTTTTCCTAAATATATTTTTCCTTCCTTTTAAAATGCGTGTTTCATATGTGCCATATATATTTATGAATGCTTTTAAGCTACACATTTATTTTGTTTTGTTTTTATCTTTAACACAGAAATGTGATATAAAAATATATCAAATGAATAGGGTAGTTTGTTGTGATATCCAAATCCTGCACATTGGAATTAGTGTTTTGTATTAAATGAGAGGATTGCTCTTTCAGATGAAGAAGACAAAGACAGTTTGCAAGAGCTTGGGGCAGAACAGAAGTGCTTCGTGGAGCATATCCTGTGTACCAAACCTCTACCATGCAGGTAGGAACCAGTGTGGCTTCCACTTTTTCTCCAATTGATGTTCTTCATGCAGCTTATCCTTGGAGACCTTTACTTAATAACTGTTATAGATAGTTGTTGTAATATTTGAAACAGTGAAGAGTATGTTAGCTTTGTTAATAATTTCATGGGAGATGGGAGAATACAACATGTGTTCGGGATAGAGACTGGTGTGGGGGGGGGTCACGTGTACTGCATTTACCTTGCTCAAGTAGAGTTGTATGTTATAGAAAAAATAATTTTCAAGAGAATCGTTGTAGGTTGCATCTTTCATTTTATATATCTAAATATCTTAGTCCCCAGCTTTATACTCTTCAGATATGTTGGAGTGTAACTTTCATCTTTTCAGGCATGAAGAGTAATTATGCTGATTAGGGATGATGAAGGTTGTAATCATGGTATATACCTGGTTATTTAAGATACTATCTCCAGTTGTATTTTTTTCTTTTACTTTTATGCATCCCCGAATCATTGTAGCTTATAAATTATATAAATAAATGTCCCAGAGCCATGGTGGTCTATGCATTGTATAAACAAATACAGTTGTCAAACATTTGGTTAGGAAGGGTTATGCTAGAAAAAAGGGAGACACTTCCAGGACATGAACTGAAGATGCCTGGAATCTAGAAATAATCACCCAAACCTTTTTAAGAAGCATGCAGCACACCTGGGTCATACTGCTCATCCAGTTGGAGTTAAATAGCTTCCCATAGAGAGGAAGAAGCTTTTGTTTATGAATCTGAATATAGTAAAGATGGCTGTTCTTCTGCCAGTAAGACTGCCTGTACTTTTAAAGAGATGTTTTGTTCCTGTAGACAACCTGCTGCAATTAGAGGGTTCTGGATTGTCTCTGATATTCTGGGCCCTACAATGGTTTGCATCACCAAGACCTACGAATGCATTACCAGGCCTCTTCTGTAAGTATGAAGCCAATTATAATTTGTGCCTGAGTCATATTTACTTTTAAGTTTTCTGCAAGTGAAAAATATTGCTGTTTGCATGTGCCGCCATAGATTATAAATATATTACTTTTTTTCTCAACTTTGCTTAAATTTTAGATCAGTGTTTCCCAACCTTGGTAACTTTAAGACAGGAGGACTTCAAGTTCCAGAATTCCCAGATAGGCTGGCTGAGGAATTCTGGGAGTTGAAGTTCCCCATTGTAAAGTTTCCAAAATTGAGAAACACAGTTTTAGATTGAGGTGGCTTGTTCCACAAATCTTATTAAGGTTACCCAGATTCAAATGCAGTATTAAACAGTTAATCAACCTTTTTGGTTGATATGGATTTTTAAATTCTCTTGTTTGAATTTATTACATTTATTACTTTGTCTTGAATGTCTGTTTTTTCTTATATATCTGCTGTTTGGCTAACTCCTTTGTGATACTGTATGCTTGCTGGCACCATTCCTCATTGAACTTGAATTCTTCCAGTTGAGACAATGACCTTTATATACTTGGCTTTTATTTAATCTATCTATGAAGTATAGTATTTTAGTGAGGATCTGCAAAACACATGGCCTATAACCAATAGCTTAATAACTTTGTAGCCTGTTCAAACAAAGGTAATGGGGCATCTCTGGTGCTTTCTGCAAGAATACAAATGGAAAATATATGTCTTTTTTCTGGTTTCCAGATCAATTCTAATAGCAAAATAGAAAAGAGCATTGTGTCCCCCAACTAGGGTTAAGCATTTATCTTACTATGTTTTCCTGGAAAAATCCAATCTGGAAGAAAAATAGATGCAAGAATGTTTTACTGGAGAATGTGTTGGATAGGAGAGAAAGTGATGAATTGTCCGTTTGCAATTTTGTATGCCCTGCAGTGCTTTTTGCCAGCATCTTAGCTACAGAGGGAAAGAAAAAAAAACACCTTGATTTCTCTAATCTGTTCTCATAGAAAGGAGGGAAAGATTATTAGCAGCAAAATAAATCACTGAATAAGCCTCTCTGACATTTTCTGCACAAGAGGAAGAGCAATGGCAATACAAGCCATAATTTTTTTTGATAATTGGTAGGGTTATAAATATTCGAGGAACTTACCGAAAAGGAGAAAAAAAGGCACAGGAGAATCGTTGATATTAATACATGCCTGACATTTGTTTTGACAGTTCCACAGTCCACCCAACATGCCCTCCACTTCTGTGCACCAAGGAAGAACCACAGATGTTTACCACACCTCTCCGCATTCTAGCTGAATCACAGGACTCCTTTGAGAGACATATCCGAAACATCTTGTGTCGCACCTCTGCAAATCCGTTGTTGCTGAAGTACAACATCTTTCTCTTTGTGAAAATCTAATTTCACATAAAGTGGTTTTTTGTTGTTGTTACTTTGCTGCTTTTCTCACTGATGTGCTAAGACCCTTTCCCAGCCTTGTGTGTTATTGCTTGTTCTTTGCTTTGGCTGTTGGTTCTCATTACTGGAATTGGCAAACTGCATCTTGTTTGGGATGGACCACCAAAGCTCAGTCTTTTCAGTGGTCTCATGATTAGACTTTTCTTTTTCTGGCTGAAAGTCTCTCATTCTGTATTTGGCTGGTTTTGCATTTTTCTGCTATGGCTCTAAATCTGTTATTCTTCTTTCACGTAAGACTGGTAGAGATTCAGAGAATACAAGCCATCTTGTTGCTTCCCACTGAATTATTATCACTTGTAGAATAGTGTTTTCTGGTTGATTAAGGATGTGGGAATTAAGGAGCTTTTTCAAATGTTGATTTCAACGTTCTTTGCCCTCTTTGAGTACTTTAGATGGGATGCTCAATGTCTCTGTCTGTCTGTCTATCTAGTTCAGGGGTAGGCAACCTTGGCTCTTTTATGACTCGTGGACTTCAGCTCCCAGAATTCCTGAGCCAGCATGGCTGGCTCAGGAATTCTGGGAGCTGAAGTCCACGAGTCATAAAAGAGCCAAGGTTGCCTACCCCGACCTAGTTCATACTTCTTAATCGCCCATCTCCCTCAGAGATATATTTTTATCATATAAATGTATCCTTTTCCAAGCTTTGCCCCAACTTTGCTTGTGTTTTTTTTAAAGAGCTGCAGATAAAGAGTCTTCCCCTCCCCCAGAGGAATGCCTTCAGCTTCTAAGCAGAGCCACACAAGTATTTCGGGAAGAATATATTCTAAAACAGGACTTGGCTCGAGAAGAAATCCAGCGAAGGTAATCTTGGCTCTTCGTTTCTAAATTTCTAAATCCTAAATGTAGCAAGTCATTTTAGCATTTTCTTACAGTGACTAAAATGAGGCTGTTTTAGGTCTTAAGGTTCTGCTGCCCAAAACAAAACAGAGAAGAATTCAAAGTGCCACTAAAATTTTTATTAGATGCAATGTTTCCGAAAAGGGCACTTAAATGATTTGCAATGTGTGTATAACAGTATTTCTAAAAATGAACAATTCTGCCTATATGTTATCAAAAAAACTTCAAAAGTTTAAAATTGAATTTTGAATCATCTCTTTTATTTACTGCCTGCCCTAGTCTTGGTTTTCTGCTGACTTAAGTGTAATACAGCTGATAAACCTACACATTTTAAAAATAATCTGTGTTATTCTGAGAAAAGCATTTATTCTATTTTTCTGCTCCCCCAGTGATTTATTTATTTAACACACACTACAAATGAAAAGAAATCCCATTTTCTCCACATTAACTATACTTAATGTTTCTACATTTTTCTGCTTTAGTCCATGGAACAGAAGAGCTAATAGTCGTTTTTTGAATATTCTGAATATCTACTTTAAATATTAGAGCCTTAGGTGTTTATCTTCTGCAATATATTACTCAACAAATGTGATTGGAAGGAAACAAAATATGCAGATTGAAGCATTGTTTCCCATCTAACCTTTTAATCTTTTCTCCACCTCAGAGTGAAATTGCTGCGTGAACAGAAAAAAAAACAGCTGGAAGATCTAGGGTGCTGTCGAGAAGAAAGGTAAAGACCAACCTATTTGTGAGCTGTTTGGCACCCCCCTTTTATTGATTTAAACTATGTAAATGTTATTTCTTAGCCAAAAAGAATCCTAGAATGACTTGTTACTTGAGTAGGACACGTACCACTTTTAGGGCTTACAGTCTAAATGACAGACAAGGAACTGGAGATGAATATTATGAGAAGCAAGTTCAGCTTGAGTTCTCACTGCTAGTTCTTTGGCCAGCTGCAACACAAGCAGTTTATGTAACTGCATGGAATACTGCCACCAATGACAGTTATGAGAGATCCAAAATCGATTAATTTCAGGAGAGGAAACAAAGTAGCCTTGTCTAATAGTTAGGCGGAATGGTTTAGAGCAAAACTACACAAAAAGTTATGATGGGTTTTCTGGTTCCAAGTACTGGATTACCTCATGGAAGTAGCAAAAGTTGATGCTGCAGAATTTTCTTGTACAGAAAGTATTTCAGATTCACACACATTTAATAGCTCAGATAGCTTGGGTTTTAGATGTCTGGAGATCCTCAATCATCCAGGTCATGGTTGCCCCAGAGGTGCTTTTCCAAAAGGCAATGAGTCTTTCTTGTTTTTTTCCCTTGAAAATATTTCACTTCTCATCCAAGAAGTGGAACTTAAGAAGATCCTTGGATGAGAAGTGAAATATTTTTAAAGAAAAAAATCAAAGAAGTCCAGTTGCCCTTTGGAAAAGTAACTTTGGGACATAAGTTATAGAGTTGCAAACACCCATTTGTGCATAATTTTGGAGAGCTACTGCCATATATTAATAGGTATCATTGAACAAGACAAATTCACCTATCTTAGACTGGGAGGGCCAGGCATTGTAGGAAGCAATTTATAGAACTACTGACCCAGGTTGCTGAATCTCAATTTTACAACCTCAATTTTCTGAGGTTGTAAAACTGAACTGTACACTAACTAGATTTTTCATACAACTAGCTAAACTATGAAATAATCTAGCCAAGGTTAACATGAGCATGCATCTGCTGGGTGCGATATTCTAACCATTGTCCATGCTGGCAGAGAATGTGAGGTTCATGGGTGGAAGCTTCTGTCTTAAGTTTCACAGTAAACAAAGGAAGGCATAGGGTAGACTAGAGAACCTATTCCTTCTCCCACCCCAAGAATTGTAATTCCTATGAAGCATTTAAGGAAGCCTTATGTTGCTCAGTCCAGGCCCAGGGTAAAACTTAGTTTGTGGAGTTTGTTGGGTTTGGACAGATGCTTTTGGCCTTTTTCTTTTTTTCTCTTTAACATTACCAGGCCTAACATTTAGTCCAAGGTGAAACTTAAGTTGTATATTCTGTATCTTAGTGCTCTTTTGGTTCTCCATAAATGCTGCTACTAGGGATCATAGAAGTTGATTTGCAATAAATGTATCCATTAGAAATTGAATGAAATTACTCAAGGAATAAATAAATTTTATGTATAAAAAAACAAAGGTGTGCTGCTGTCCTGAAAGTAACATTTTGTCTTCTCATAAAGGAAAAGTTTGAGGGAGATGGCAGAGCGTTTGGCTGACAAATATGAAGAAGCCAAAGAGAAACAAGAGGATATTGTGAACAGGTGAGGATATCTTTTTATTCTGATTGGATGAAGTAACTGTAATTATCTAACTTCTTGCTAAAGAAATTGTTGTAGATTTGCTTAGAAGCCCAGTCATTAAACTGAATTCCTTTCCAAATTATAATACAGGTGTTAATAGAGGAGTTTATGGAAAGGCAGTTACAGGGTACATACCAGCAAAATGAAAATGGATAAGCAGTTTTATCTCTGGAACTGCTTCACTAAAATACCAGATAACATACTTTACTGGGTTCAGAAGTTCTGTCAAGTCAAACCAAACCTATTTAATTCAATGTGAAAATTGCTTTAGCGGTATTTAGCTTTTTAGAAAAAAGGGGCTCCTAGTTTTCTAACGATCATTTTTAGTACTGTACTATTGTACCTCTTTTTCCTTGTCAAACATCAAACAGCTAGAGTAACCTATAATTCTGCTAATATTTAATTAGAAAAATAAAACTAATTTACTTTTGAACAAAAGTATACGTCACACCTCACCAAATAAACTAAAATCTACAAGTAAATTTGAAAGGGATAGTTATATACTGTATAGCACTATTCTGAGTTATGTAGTCTGAAAATGCATAGCAAAACCCCACCTCCATTGCCCCTTGTTAGAAACCTGATGTTTTTTGTGGCTACAGGATGAAGAAAGTTCTCCGTAGTTACCATTCACAGCTGCCTGTCCTATCCGATAGTGAAAAGGATATGAAGAAGGAGCTACAAACAATACAAGAACAATTACGGCATTTAGGCAATGCTATCAAGCAGGTAAGTGGTTGCTCATTTCTAAAAACATATCTAGAAAATAGAAGTATTTTTGAGGTGTTTCTCCTTGTTGCTTCTCTATAATTGTAGGTTAAAATGAAAAAGGATTACCAGCAGAGAAAAATGGAGAAGGGCAACAGTCCACAGAAGCCGAGCATCAACCTCAGCACATATCAGAGGAAATGTATCCGGGCTGTTCTGAAAGAGGAGTGAGTCTATTGCTTGCTGAGCTAAATGATTATTTTCTTGCATGATTAATATTTGGCTAATGGCAAATGCCTGCATGGTGCACAGGCTTCTATCTTGGTTGAGTTTCTAGGCTGCTGGCAAGTGCTTTACTAATGCTGTATATAAGTGATATGTTCTGGCCAGAGTTGTACAGATCCTAAATATTTGTGTATTTACTAGCTTTCTGAGAGTGACAGACTCCCTCCCCCCAATTCTATTTCCAGTAAGAGGAAGGCAATTTGTGAGACTCTGTAGGTATTACTTATACATCAAATACCACTGGACTAACCAAAATTTGTTACGTTTAAAGATTTAAATTACAAGCTGTCTTTCTTACTATCCTTGCTCAATACTGAGATAAAGAAAACATTTTTTTCTCTCTTTCAGGGGAGAACACATTCAGGAGATGGTGAAACAAATAAATGACATCCGGAATCATGTAACCTTTTAGTCATCAGACTAAAGACTTACATTTTTGGAATATTAAACATTACCAGCTGCCTTTTTCCTAATTTATAAATTGAACTATTTTTGCAAAAAGATTCATTATTAAATACTCATTAGAGGATGCGTCCATTATAATGCATGGTGCAGCATTCTACAGAAGGCATGATGCTAAAGACGTCTGACATCCGCCCTTTTGTGACTTCAACTTAAATACATGTTTGTAATATCACACTGCTTATTTCAAAATAAAAATCAATACAACCACTGTACCAAATCTTTCCTCATAGATCATCATCTGAGCTAACCTTATGAACCCTTCTTAGATCATCAATACAATACATTTAAATAGAAAGAAGGTATGAAAAGAATTGCAAGACTTTCCTCCTTTAATTTGGAACACTTTTGCAGTATACACCTCCAATACAGTTAACAAATGGTTACATTTTTTAATTCAATAGACAGGATAATTTTACATCCACAGTTTCACAGGACACCAGTGGCTTTTGCTGGAATGCAATATAATTCCAAAATTGTGGAATTTGAAGGCTAGTTTTTTTTTAAAGGGGGCTTTGTAGATTATTTACCCATCTCCCACCCTTATCCTTGGCCACACTGTGTTGTTAGAAGCTGTATAGCCATAGGAGATTCAAAAGTGAAAGGAAACCATTTGACATGTTGGAAGAACCTATTGTGCACATATTAAGATTGTACAAGTCTTCCAGTAATTCTGTGACCTTTTTGTATATATTTTGCATACAAAAAGACTGTACAAGTATACAGAACAAAGCCAGCCTTACTGTTCTTTACTCATTTTGCACACAATCCCTGTTTAAATCAGTACATGTCACAGTGTTATACCTATTTGTAGTAGCTAAGCCTTTGAATGAGACTGAAAGCTAATGGTATAAATTACTCCTTTACATTAAAAAAGTCAGATCCATACAGCCTTTTTTAAAAAAAAGTTAATTATGAAAGCAATTCATTTTCAAGATCAATTTTGAAATTAGCATTTCCTGCCATTAAAACAAATTTTCTCTTTTTAAAAATTGTGTGAACTAGCAGCATATTATTCTTCTCGGGTTTGTAGACTTGTGGATTTATAGTATTGTCAATATTTAATTATATGTATAAATTTTAAATGTAGTACTACAGATCTATTTTCCCTGCGTTTCCTTCCATGTTAGTTTGATTATTTCTTTCCCTAATGATTCTGAAATACTTCCAGGCTTCAGGACGAATAGCAGAACAGTACTTGTTCACTATGCTAAATAGAATATTATGCATCCAATTTATGGTATCATTCTTTATGTGTATCATAGCTAATCTCACCACTTTAGAGATCATAGCATTGCCTCCCCAATTAACACATGTGGTTTTTAGCCAATTTAATACAAAGGCTTAGATGAGCTTGACCATATTTGACAGGGGTCTTTGAAAATGCTGCTTTCCTAAAAGGAAAGCCATCGTTGCTGAAATTTAATGATGTACCAATTGCATCAGCAGGATTAGGGAAGAAGGGTAAATCCATTTCTAATACCATATTAAAGATGCAAAGAAACATGCTGATGCACTTCATTAGAGCAAGTTCTTCATTTCTAGGCCTAAGTCCACTTTTTTTTTGTCACTGTAATGTTTTTAACAGTTTTTTTCTAACCAGCAGATTGAAACAGACTGGATTTCAGCAAATGTTTTTTGATTTTGTACCAGTTACATAATTAGAACTTACAGGGAATCAAGTTGCCCCCTCTCTTCCTCCTCACCTCGATTACTACCCAGAAAACCTGAAACAGATAAATTCAGTTGATGGTCCTTGCCCACCCAAAAAGTAAAATAGAACGATAGCTTTTTTTTCAACAATGGGGAAGTACTCAAGCTGCTCATTTATTTACACCAATATACGAACTAGCTATTGGATCAATACTTGCTTGTTCAAGAACCAGGTCATAATAAACATGATTAAATTAGACTGATTCTGGTCTTTAGAAAATGAATGTCATAATTGATAGTTGCTCTCTTGACAGGTGTGGAAGAATTGGGAAAGAACAGTTGCTTGCAACTCCATTAGCCCAGTTCAACATTGATTTGTTCAACTGCTTGACCACAAGAATAAAAATTCAATAGAAATACAGATTAAACATATTTTAACTACTTTACACTCATCCTATTTAAAACAATTCCTAGGAGCTTATAAGCTCTTATTGGAACCCAAGCAATCATGCAGCCGCCTGACTGGAAAAAAAAATAATTTAAATTTTAATTATTTTAAAAGCTCCATTTTAAGTTTAGAGAAGCATCTTCCTTTCCCCTCAAGAGTTGGATCACAGCAAATCAGTTGCATTTGGGTTCTGCTGGGATCTTTCCATAATGGAGTTTAATGCATCTTGCATGTTCTGATTGCAAGTCCAGAACAAGGTTTTCCAGACCTATATCACGAGTGCTGGCTTTTCAAGGGAAGCATTCAGTCCAAGCATAAACATAACTGCAGCTTCACAAACATTTCCTATCTGATGTGTTGCAGCATTATCTTAAATGTATAATTTTAAACCCCAATCTTTAAACAAATACATTCAAAGCAAAAGGTCTTGTAGAATCTGTAAAGATTCACAAAACCCCTCTGTACTATAGGTATGATACGGCTTAATTTTTTTTACGCCATGGTAATCAAATGTGTATTGATAAATGCAACTAACTCAAGGTCACATATTTCAGTGAGAAAAGTGTAACGCTGGATCCAGCCATATGTTGATATTGTGCAATGCAGCTTTTTTTTTGGGGGGGGGGAGTAATGAGTAATGAGAGATATAAAAGCAATTTATTTTCACTTCCTTTTCTTTGTATGAAGATTAACCTTCACTTCCCTGACCTTTGTGTCTCAAGAATTTAGGTGACTTATTTCCACATTCTAATTATCCATTTTTCCCCTGTGCCTTAAGTTCTTTTTTGAAAATTTGCAGCCTTCTCTAATCCCCTTCTGCCTGTATTCTGTACATGTTTTTAGTTAGGGCTCTTCCAGCACAACATTCAAGGTACAAAAAATGTACTGAGCTAGAAAAACCCCAAATCCAGTGTCCTGCAAATAAATTCATATTTTAATATAAAATATTAATACAATATACTATTTTCCCCTTCTGCCCAACTTGCTATTGTAACTTCACTCCAAAAGATTTGGGGTGGGATGGGAGGAGACAATTTCCAGCAACTACTTTCATCACAGTATTTTAACAGGGTATGGATGAGAGGGAGGGAGGGAATGCCGTATTCCAGAATCATGGGGGGGGGGCGCAAGAGGATGAAGGTAGATGAGTTATATGGAAAAGTCCAACTACACTGAAGGCAGATACCCTGGAGGGTCCTGCAATTCATCTCAGTGTGAAACTTTCTTCCCGCCCAGAAAACCTTCCTCTCCCACCCAGAAACACAACCTGGACCGTGGCTCTTGTGTCATCATCTGCTCTTTAAGTTAGAATTAAATAATTATTAAAGGTTTCGCTATAAAGAGGGAGGTTTAAAAAAAAAAACCAAAATGTAGCTTTGCAGCTCTACCACTGAGGTTGTCATGTTTCTGGTAGCTGATTAATGTCAGTCAGTTTTGTATCATTGAGGATTGCACGAATTCTCTCCAGGGAATCTGCCTGCCGGATCCGTTCCAACTGGACCTGAGCAAAAATGAGCAACACACAACATTAACAGAATGACTATCTGTAAGGGGGATTGAGTTTCTCTTAGTTATAAACTTTAAAGATCAGCAGATTCATTTATCAATAGACGCATAAGTAGAGGTACTGGGTACGTTTAGCCTGGTAGCTGTAAGATTACAGGGAGACATGAAAGCAGTTTTCAAAAATCTGAAAGGCTACCCTGTAGAAGCTGGGGAGTAATTAATTCAGAGTGGTTTCAGAAGGCAGGACAAGGAATAATTGTTTAAACTCAAGGAGGAAAATCTGGGTTGGCTCTCAGGAAACATTTCCAAACGACAAGGGCTGGTCCCAAAATGTAATGGACTGCCTAGGGATAGGGTGGATTTTCCTCTGCTGGAAATTAAACAGAGCATGGATGGATAGTGCATTCTGCATAAGGCAGTGTTTCCCAAACTTGACAATTTTAAGGCATGTGGACTTCAACTCCCAGAATTCCACAGCCAGCATTGCTGGCTGTGGAATTCTGGGAGTTGAAGTCCTCATGCCTTAAAATTGTCAAGTTTGGGAAACACTGGCATAAGGCAAGGATCTCCAAGATCACTATCTACATTTACATTCTAGTATTCTCAAAGAAAAAAAAAAGATTTCTCCCCTTAGCATGAAGTAACTACAGAAGGAAAAACTTTAGCGAGACCTATTTTACTCATCACCATTATTGGAAGAACCCGATGGGTCTTGTGACTTTGGAAGGTAGGAGCAACCCAGTAGAACAAGAATAGGACAAATATCTGAGAGAAAGCTAATTCTAGTGACTAGAAAATCCAAGAACTGACACTTTTCACTGCCTTTGTTCCCGAGCTGACCACCTTACCTGAAGGGTCTGAGAAAGCTTAACAAAGTCTCTCTGTACTTGCTCACTGACATCCAATTCTGTCTGAAGCCGTTGAGCTTTGTTTTTCTCCTCGAACATCATGTGTTCTAAGTTAGCCTGGGAAAGGAAACAACAATGATTTCTGCATCTTGGAGATATGGGGGTGCTTATAAATGGAGCTGCATGATGGCCTTCCTAGTCAGAGAAGACTGGAAGGGTTTTAAGAAAGAAGGGATCTCTTACTACATGTACTGCACTATTTCAAGGTAATTTATCCAAACAACATCTGTAGGAAATTGGACTCGCTCCTCATTTCCAATCCTCCATTCCCTATGTGCATATATTGCTCATACTGTACTAAATCTAATTTGCTGCCTGGCTGGCTGTTCCCTGTATTCCTTTCAAATCTCTTTGGATTTTGTTGATTTCAGAAATACAGTATTGATCCCAGTCAAGTCTCTTCTTTTGTGAACTGTTTGTCACAATGACAAACAGATCCTCCACCAATGACAAGGCTTGAGCACTTTCGGTCCCTTTCCCATATAGCAGTGTTTCTCAACCTTGACAATTTTAAGGCATGTGGACTTCAACTCCCAGAATTGAAGCTGGCTGTGGAATTCTGGGAGTTGAAGTCCACACGCCTTAAAATTGTCAAGGTTGAGAAACACTGCCATATAGCAACTCAATACCCTTTAATGTCATTCATACAAAATTATTTACCTTTGTGGCAACTTCCTTCTTCAGCTGTTCTTCGAGAACATTTTCCCTTTCCTCAAAATTTTCTAACTGCTGCATCTTTTCTTTCAAGGAGGATTCCAACTGTGAAAATGGAAGAATGTATTGAATGAGCTAAAAGCTCTCCAGTTCCAACCAATCACTTGGGGAATCTTCTACAGCCTATCCATTTTTGCATTTGTAAATCTTTTGTGGAATAGTTCAATTATGTAAACCTCTCCCTTACTGAAAGCAAAAACTGAAGCTATCACCATTTATTTTAATCTCCTCTGCTGCTCAGAAGTTCCTGACACCATCTGTTTTCTGACTACTTGTTTTGAGAGTGTGATGTTAGGATATATACAGAGCAGTTTTATGCCAGGTGTACATAAAGAGAATAGCATTGATTAGTCCTTTGACATGTTTCTTACTAACATTTGTTCGAAGTAGCTTGTGGCCTTGAATATGAGCCTCAATTTTAGGCAGATACTTTATCATGAAAAGAGAAGGACAAGCATGAAGGACCACTATCTAAATGGTCTCATCTAAATGCTTTCAAAACTTATTTCCTTCCTTGTAGCCCCTCCGTTACCATTCCTTCTTTATGCCCAGAAAAAAACAATATAACTAGGAAGATATACAGCATTTTCTCCACATTCAAGAATTTGAAGTAACTGCACTACTAGATAAGGATTTACTCTATCTTTGAGACAGACACGAAGACCTTTGAAAGGAGATCCATGTAATCCAAAGAATACAGGGGAGAAAAAAAGAACATCAAGGGGTGGAAGGTATTTGCCATGGCACCCAGAACATTTCCCAAAGTCTTTAGATAGGTTACCTGCCCTTTATCAACTCTTATTTGCTCCAATTCTGTTTTTAGACTGGATGCAGCAGCTGTTAAAAGATGGGGAAAGATTTTAATTTTATTTATGGACTCATATTCAGTTCATATTAAGTAGGAAGGACTAGTAAATTAGGAAGGCAAAATGGAATTCCCTGAAAGGTGCTTAAATATAAAGACAGCCCTAGTCTCACCTATTTCCTCTTTGCAATTCTCTATTTCTAGCTGCAGAGTCTCTTCTATGTTCTCTTTTAAACATTGTTCAGCTTGAATCTGTTCTTTTAAAAACAAAATTTCTGCCTTCAGTTTTTCTTCCAGATGATCGGCCGCAGTTCGTACACTAATAATGTCTTCACGATACTTGAGGACCAGTTCGCGGAGTTCCTGAAACAAAGGCTTAGATAGGTCAAACAACTGTCTTCCTGCATGTATATACTATGGTGTAATAAACTGTAAGGGACTTTGACTTAAAATTGATTTTGAAAAGGACAAAAGGAGGGAAAGATACAAAAGGGGAAATAGTCTTGAATGCTTTATAATATAGTAATTAGAAGTCTAGAGAATTCTCTCTTAACTGTTTTCAGAGTCCAGCTTACAGTGTTGTTTGAAAACATACAGTATTACCACAATTGCATAATAAGCTATTTTCCTTGATGTCAAATGCTTCCAAGCAGAAATGGGATGAACTTATGTGGCTACAAATCATACACTTTATAACTAAGAAACACTCTTTTCTCCTTATGAAACAAAAAATTAAGATAACAAAATATGGTGTAGGCTGCTTTAGAGTGAAAATACCAGTGATTGTTCAAGATATACTGAAAGTTATCTAGATGAAGGCAGATAAACACTAAAACATAACCATAGATAGGGTTGCAGTTTTTACTAATTTAAGATTTCAGTTTAGTTAAATATTACAATCAACATGTGGATCTACTCACATACATTACTAGAAACAAGTTTCTACTTTTCTAATCTTAAAAAAGTGATAGCTATTATTCCTAAACTTTAGTTGCAAGAATGTCTTACCCAATATTATGCCCTAAATCAGGGGTTCTCAACTTTGACAACTTTAAGATTTGTGGACTTCAACTCCCAGAATTCCTCAGCCAGCTTTGCTGGCTGAGGAATTCTGGGAGTTGAAGTCCACACGTCTTAAAGTTGCCAAGGTTGAGAACCCCTGCCCTAAATGGATCTATTTAAAATTAACCAAGAGGTATCCTACCTCTCCAGTTTCTGGAAGGATAAAATCCTCAGCTTGTTGTAAAGACACATGCAGACAATGTTTCCCTTGAAGGCTTTCGTTGTCTTTCTGGAGCCTCTCCAATTCCTCTGAAACAAGCTCTCGTGACTGCATCAGGACAGCCTCCAGCAAACAAAGAAAGAATTAAATCCTCAAAAATCAGCTCTTCAGATTAACTCACATTTCATTAACATGGTAGAAGCAGGTAGCAGACAAAACAGGAAAAAAAATACCAATATGAAGAATAGCCTTGCTCACTATGACTTTATCTCCCTGTTCCCACAACTTAATTAAATAGGTGAGCTGTGACGTTTTCAATTAAAACACTGAAAAAAGGGATCAGTTAAAAGATACAGCCAGTCTGTAAAGCTATTCAACACAAAACAAGCATAAGTATTCTGTGAAAACACATAAACCCAATTAAGGAAATATCCTTGAAGAGAAAGAGCTGGAGAGGAGAACCAATTAAAAGATTAAATTTTTGATTTTCAGAAATCACTTCCCAAACACTGACTGGTGTTGACCAGTCTATTGCTGGTTCCCTTGCCAATGGGAAAGTCTTGTCAGTACTTTCCTAGTGCAATGACTTATGGGATAGTAAGTACTTCCTAAAGAAACTAAGTCAGAGGTGTTAAAACTGGTGGCCCATGGGCCAGATGTGTCACATGCAGGCCATGCCCACCCCGGCTCCACAAAGGTCTGGACTGGAGGCTAAAACTTATAAGAAAGGTTGCTAGAATTGGGTATGTCTAGTTTAACGAAGAGAAGGACAAGGGGGGACATGACAGCAGTGTTCCAATATCTCAGGGGCTGCCATAAAGAAGAGGGAGTTAAGCTATTTTCCAAAGCACCTGAAGGCAGGACAAGAAGCAACGGATGGAAACTAATCAAGGAGAGAAGCAACCTAGAACTAAGGAGAAACTTCCTGACAGTGAGAACTATTAACCAGTGGAACAACCTGCCTCCAGAAGCTGTGAATGCTCCAACACTGGAAGTTTTTAAAGAAGAGACTGGACAGCCATTTGTCTAAAATGGTATAGGGTTTCCTGCCTGAGCAGGGGGTCAGACTAGATGACCTCCAAGGTCCCTTCCAACTTTTTTATTATTATTATTATTATGATGATGATGATGATGGATGATGGATCATCGCACAATCAGCCAGATGTTCAGACTGGATTTGGCATTTTGTCTACCTATCGAGTCCTTACCCAGGACCTGGGATAGGCAGATGTGGATGTTTGATGGTGTTACAGATATCGTCGCAGGATGGAAGCAGTTCCTAGTAAGGCTGCCTTTTGCAATTGACTAATAGCAAATTTGTCAGTGCCAATGGTGTTCAAGTGGTGCTCCAGTTGTTTTGGGATTGCACCCAAGGAGCCTATTACTATTGGTAGTACCCTTGCTTGCTTTTGCCACAGTCTTTCTATTTCTATTTGTAGGTCTTTGTATTTTGTTATCTTCTCCAGTTCTTTCTCTTCTATTCTGCTATCTCCAGGCACTGCCACATCCACTATCCAGACTTTTTTGTCTTTCTTATCGACAATTGTTAAGTCTGGGGTGTTATGTTGCAGTGCTTGTCTGTTTGAATTCTGAAGTCCCAGAGCAGTTTAATTTTATCATTTTCTATGACTTTCTCTATTTTATGATCCCACCAGTTTTTGATTACAGGCAAATGATATTTTTTGCAGATCTTCCAATGCACCATTGTTGCTACTTTGTCATGTCGCTGCTTGTAATCAGTCTGTGCAATCTTCTTGCAACAGCTTACCAAGTGGTCCACTGTTTCTTCAGCTTCTTTGCATAGGCGGCACTTACTGTCTGTTGCTTTCTTCTCAATTTTGACTGTATATGCATTTGTCCTTAAGGCTTGGTCTTGTGCAGCCAGAATTAGTCCCTCGGTCTCTTTCTTCAATTTTCCTGCTCTTAGCCATTGCCAGGTTTTATTATTATCTGCTTTCCCAGCTATTTTTTAATGTATTGGCCATGTAGTGCTTTGTCTTCCCATGCCTCTATTCTGTTCTTCATTTGGTCTTTCGTGTAGGCCAGTTTGGTCTCTCCAGTAGTCAGTAAGCCTTCCTGATATACTAATTTCAGTGCATCTTCATCATTGTTCTTCAGATATTCTTCCAAAGCCATTTTTTTTTTTCTTCAACCATCTGATGTACTTGTAGCATTCCACGCCCACCTATTTGCCTTGGTAGATAAAGTCTGTTAATGTCACTGCGTGGATGAAGGGCATGATTCATTGTCATTATTTTTCTGGTCTTCCTATCCATTGCTTTTAGTTCTGCTTGAGTCCAGTCCACTATTCCAGCTGTGTACCTAATGACTGGGATTGCCCAGGTGTTGATTGCCTTTATGGTATTTCCTCCATTGAGTTTGGACTTTAAGATCTTCTTCACTCTCTTGATGTATTCACATCTAATCTTTTTCTTGACTTCAGTGTGCTTGATGTTGTCAGCTTGAAGGATACCCAAGTATTTGTAGTACTCTTCCTCATCCAGACTCTTAATGTTATTTTTGTGGGGCATCGTGATTCCTTCAGTTTTCACTATTTTTCCTTGTTTGATAGTAAGTGTGGCACATTTGTCCAAGCCAAACTCCATTACAATATCTTGGCTATATATACGGACAGTGTTGAGCAGCGATTCTATTTCAGATGATGTTTTTCCATACAGCTTCAGATCATCCATGTAAAGGAGATGGGATAGTCTGGTAGATGTTTTTGATGTTTGATAGCCATGTCCTGAGTTTTTATTATTATTATTATTATTATTATTATTATTATTATTATTATTATTATTGTTGTTGTTGTTGTTGTTGTTGTTGTTGTTATTTTAAAAAAATCACGATACATCAGGATATGCCATGTGATGCGATCAAGTTTGACACCCCTGAACTAAGTAAAGATTCTGCATTTACAAATGATTTGGTCCACTTATTTCAACTGTGATTTGTTGGAAACATTAATAGTTAACTGGGTTCAGTTGTGGTAGCAAGGCCTTAGCAATTTTAACATTCTAGAAGTAAGTCAGCCACAGCAGATACAATTCTATAATAATTCATAATTACCTAACTTTAAAGAAAAACAAAGAACAAACACAGGAATCTACATTAAGTGAAAGAAGTTTGAGTGTACAGTTCTAGGAAAAAGAATAACTGTAGAATTGGCTGCATAAATAAAAATATAGAAACCCCCCCCTCCAAGGGCACATGATTTCCTCCAAAATACTGCAGAACAATAGATAACTCATAAGGAAGAAGACCAAGGTGTCTTCTAGAGCTTATTCTTACCACTATTAAGCTGCTATTTCATAGGCAGCACAGCTAATAAGACCATGAGGAGTTTATAGGAAACCCATCCAACTGAAATTCAGAGCTAACTTTTGTACCAATCCATCTTCCTGACTATATTTCTGGGCTTGCCTCCATAATGGCATGGCCCCAAGGTCTCTTATCTGTATCATTCCAATCAACTGTATACCTTTCTGTTCAGCTTTTTCCTAAATGTCATTCTGGCCTGTTAAGACAAACTGGTCTTTCACCATTTAGACCAGCTGGAAAAGAAACACACATCTGTTTTCTGATATCTAGGCAATACAGCAATCCTCTCTAGGTCCCAGCTTCAAAAAGTACAGGTGGTCCTTGTTCAATATTGTAAGAAGGATCATCCGAGTGACCATAAAACCAAAACCATGGCCGTCATCAAAAATACTATCTTAGTGTACAAGCAGGAACAAAAATAAGCAGTTTTGATGCTTGAATTTATTCATTTATTAGACTGGTATATCACTCATTTTGTATAATTCAAGGTGGTGTATATAATGTTTCTGCCTCCTATTCCTCCCACAATAACCTTGTGAGTAAGTTAGGCCAAAGAGCAGCTACAATGTATATATGAAAACAGGCAGCATGGTAGCCACAGCATTGTAAGCGTGTACGTTGTGACTGCCACTTATATACACATGCCACAATTTTACACAATACTGTTATCTTGCCTGTGTTGACGTCCCTATAGATCAGTGGTTCTCAACCTTTCTAATGCCGCGACCCCATAATACAGTTCCCCATGTTGTGGTGACCCCCAACCACTTATACATCACCGGGTGCCAGGGGCGTGGCCAAAGGGGGAAAAATGGCGGACAGCCTTGTTTGGTGACCCCCGTGAAATGGTCGTTCGACCCCAAATGGGGTCCCGACCCACAGGTTGAGAACCACTGCTATAGATGTTATTGGGACCCAAGTTGCCCAACACTGAAGGACAGACATCACCAGAAAACAACCGAACCCAACATCATCTGGGTTCTCCTCCCCTATTTACTGTCAAGCAGACCAGTATGTTCCTTAAACAATATCTAATTGATGCAGAGTGCCAAACTGGGTTAGGGCAGGTTTCCAAATTTCCCCTTCATAAACAGCATAAGGTAATTCCAACTGCAGATCTTAACTCACAGAAGACTGTTACGGTAGTCTAACTTGTTGCAGATGTATTGAAGAGAAGATACTGAAAGATCCCCTTCCCAGAAGCTCTGTGCCCCTTGTTGGTTCACTGGCTATTCCTATGAAACAATTTGTGCTTTTCATAGAGCATATAAAAGTTGGTTTTGCTCTTCAAATAAGGACAAGAAACAAACAGATACATTCTGTGCAGGCTTTTGAGAGCAAAACCAACTAAAATATCCTAAACTGTCCTCCATACTCAGCTAGAAATGGACAGCACCCAAGAGTGATACTTGTCTGTAGAAAAAACTTACTTCATTCTACAGTGCAGATAAATGGAATAATGTTCATATTGTTATTATATAACAATATTATAGATACAGAATAAACAACAAATATATTCAAATATGTGTATTAAAATAATTCTTCATTGTTTACCATTTGATCTTGGACATTTCTTTTAGCTTGACAAAATGCCTGCTGTAATTCACTAAGTAAGGCATCAGATTCCTGAACTCTAGCAGTAAGTGATGAGATCTGTCAAAAAAAGAGGGGGGGGGGATATGAATAAATTATACACACACATCACGAGTACCAAATGGCATATATAACTGGTATGCAAACATTTTCCTAACTTTTTAGCAGGCTTATTTGCATTTTTTTTCTATAGAATTCCATGCTGAAATCTCAGTAACAATGGGGCAAATGCTCCAAAATATTTAAAGGTAGTCTCCAAGTTGAGCTCTGCCTCTGGTGATTTCCCAAATACAACCATGTATAGGTAGTTGGAACTGCAATCTCGGTCACTGAGCAAAGCCCATAATCCTGGCACTCCCAATTGCACCAGTAAAGCAATCTTTGGGGTCATGAAGTGAATCTGCTGAAGGGTTTCCTTTCTCCTCTATGGGGCTCCAGAATGGAGCTGAACTCTTCAGGATTTCAACTCCATTTCTGCAGCCAGACAAAGAATTTCAACTTTATCTCCTCCACTTGAACCTTTCCTGCCAGCTTCCCCAATGACCCTCTGGAAAAGCTGGTGGAGAAGACTGCAAATGGCGATCACATGATCACGGGGCACTTGGTAATTGATGTAAATGCATGCTGTTGGTCAAGCACCAGAAATGCAGTCATGTGACTGTGAGGAGGAGCAACATTTTATGATGGCCAAAAGTAAAGCACCTTTTCTGAGGCCATTGTAACTTTGAACAGTTGTTAAACAACCAATTGTAACTTGAGGACTGTCTGCAGATTTTTAAAAAATCAACAATAGAGAATTGGTTTGCTACTGCTGCCTTCTGGGATGTTTTTTGAATTCCCAATCTATACTAACAACCTCATACTAATCATATTTGATCCTGTTAACTTTACTCTTAAAACATCTTCAGTATATTCTACAGTATACAATTTGTGTAAAAAGAATCAACCAGTTTAAATATATGCCCTATGCAATGGTCATTCTCACTTAAAGAATTTTTAGTTTTCTGTAAGATTTTCTTTACCTGATTTACTGAGTCTTCACTACTTTGTTTCATAAATTCCTCCAGCTCCTGTTTCTCTTGTATTGCTTTTTCTAGCTGATCGTTGGCCTGCCTCAACATCATCTGAAGTTTTTTCACCTATGGGGTTAGACACAATATAACATAAACATCCCTTTTCTAAATAAGGTTAAATTTTCCCCAAGACAAAAATCTATGCTTATAATTGAGAAACAAGATAAAATAAAGAAACCATGAAAATAAGAGTTTCATTATAGTCCACGCCCTCATTGCTTAATGATATAACCTTTTCTAACATCACAGCCATAACAAAATGTTAATACAGAATTCTGAATTCTTTATCTTAAAAGGGTAGAAAGATAATCTGTTGTGTTTGATTATGTTCATAAAAATGTACTATTTCCTCTTTTAGCATTAATGGAAATATCATACAATATGCTTTCATTCTCTGAAACGTAAGTATTCATAGCAGAACATAGAATCAAATACCTTATCCAAATGTTTATGAAGAAACTAAATTTAAAAGTTCTATAAATTCAGTTTAAACTTTAATAAGATCACTAGAGATTAAAAAAATCTGAAAGTATTTGGTTTGTCTTCTGGAGGGTTTACGCACAGGATCAGGTACTATTCTTTTTTTGAACTATTACCATCTGGCAGACGGTACAGGATAATAAAAACAAAAACAAATAGGCTGAAAAATAGTTTTTATCCCAGAGCTGTAACCATATTAAATATCACTGTATAGTGCAACATTGAAGTGCAATATTAGGGGCAGCGCAATGGTGAATAGAATGTGAAGGATGTGTGTATATAATGTATGTTGTTATTTGTGGTTTTTACTTGTGTATAGTGTGTACTGTGACAACACTTAATTTCATTGTGAGTTACACAATGACAATAAAGACATTCTATTCTATTCTATTCTATTCTATTCTATTCTATTCTATTCCTATTCTATCAACCTCCGACTTGTACATATATTTGAGAATGAATAAGAGGTTGAACTGAGTTGAAAGCAAACAAAGGAACTCTTTCCCCAAATTAGGTGCTTTTAACTCATTTCTCATGAAAACAAGAACAGATTTGCTCGCACCCTTATACAGACATGGGTGGAAGGCAGAAATCTCTGCACCTGTAAGTGACTCATGAACTGTAAAGAAAATAAGCATAATGATATAACTGGGGAATCATCATATGTTGAAGGGACAGTCAGTGCAGGGAATCAGTCTAAGTGAATCAGCTTAAAAACCAACTCTGATATTGAAAACAAGCTCAAAGTCTTTAATTAATGAACTCCAAATCCAAATCATTCAATACTGACCAACAATTAAGTACTCTTTAAAGCAGGGGTAGGCAACCTTGGCTCTTTTATGACTCGTGGACAGCCAGTTGTGCTGGCTCAGGAATTCTGGGAGTTGAAATCTACGAGTCATAAAAGAGCCAAAGTTGCCTACCCCTGCTTTAAACAATCTGAATGGTTGTGCATAAACAGCAAATGAATTTTATTGCAAAAGTCAGGACAGAAGCAATATTTATAATAAGTTATTTTTCTTATGCCTGTATATAATAAATGATGCTGAACTAACTGGTCATTGAATTAACACAAGGAGTAAGTTTGCGTAAGCGGCATTAATTTACCTATAATAATAATAATAATAATAATAATAATAATAATAATAATAATAATAATATCCTTCAAGCTGACAACATCAAGCACACTGAAGTCAAGAAAAAGATTAGAGGTGAATACATCAAGAGAGTGAAGAAGATCTTAAAATCCAAACTCAATGGAGGAAATACCATAAAGGCAATCAACACCTGGGCAATCCCAGTCATTAGGTACACAGCTGGAATAGTGGACTGGACTCAAGCAGAACTAAAAGCAATGGATAGGCAGACCAGAAAAATAATGACAATGAATCATGCCCTTCATCCACGCAGTGACATTGATAGACTTTATCTACCAAGGCAAATAGGTGGGCGTGGAATGCTACAAGTACATCAGATGGTTGAAGAAGAAAAAATGGCTTTGGAAGAATATCTGAAGAACAATGATGAAGATGCACTGAAATTAGTATATCAGGAAGGCTTACTAACTACTGGAGAGACCAAACTGGCCTACAAGAAAGACCAAATGAAGAACAGAATAGAGGCATGGGAAGACAAAGCACTACATGGCCAATACATGAAAAAAATAGCTGGGAAAGCAGATAATAATAAAACCTGGCAATGGCTAAGAGCAGGAAAATTGAAGAAAGAGACCGAGGGACTAATTCTGGCTGCACAAGACCAAGCCTTAAGGACAAATGCATACAAAGTCAAAATTGAGAAGACAGCAACAGACAGTAAGTGCCGCCTATGCAAAGAAGCTGAAGAAACAGTGGACCACTTGGTAAGCTGTTGCAAGAAGATTGCACAAACTGATTACAAGCAGCGGCATGACAAAGTAGCAACAATGGTGCATTGGAAGATCTGCAAAAAATATCATTTGCCTGTAAGCAAAAACTGGTGGGATCATAAAATAGAGAAAGTCATAGAAAATGATAAAATTAAACTGCTCTGGGACTTCAGAATTCAAACAGACAAGCACCTGCAACATAACACCCCAGACTTAACAATTGTCGATAAGAAAGACAAAAAAGTCTGGATAGTGGACGTGGCAGTGCCTGGAGACAGCAGAATAGAAGAGAAAGAACTGGAGAAGATAACAAAATACAAAGACCTACAAATAGAAATAGAAAGACTGTGGCAAAAGCAAGCAAGGGTAGTACCAATAGTCATAGCTCCTTGGGTGCAATCCCAAAACAACTGGAGCACCACTTGAACACCATTGGCATTGACAAATTCGCTATTAGTCAATTGCAAAAGGCAGCCTTATTAGGAACTGCTTCCATCCTGCGACGATATCTGTAATACCATCAAACATCCACATCTGCCTATCCCAGGTCCTGGGTAAGGACTCGATAGGTAGACAAAATGCCAAATCCAGTCTGAACATCTGGCTGACTGTGCGATGATCCATAATAATAATAAAAAAGTTGGAAGGGACCTTGGAGGTCATCTAGTCCAACCCCCTGCTCGGGCAGGAAACCCTACACCATTTTGGACAAATGGCTGGCCATTCCTTTCTTATATTTTTATTTTTTTTTTTTTTTTTTATTGAAAATTTTTAAATTTTTACAAAAACAAATCCCCTTCCCATACCCCCCCCAACCCTACCTCACCCCCCTCCTCCCCCACCTCCCAAACCCTCCCCTAGACTTCCCAGAGCTGAATACAGGCTTAATTGAGAAAAAAACTTAAAACACTTTTAAAACCTAAACAAATTTAAATACAATCATCATTCTCTATAAACTCCCTCCAAAAACGCAAATTTAAACATTACTTTCTTTGAATATCTATAGCTATAATGTAAAATCTAATTTCTCCCTCTTTCTTTATCCTAATACAAAAAGATAAACATATAAACCTTTGTTGTACCATTAAAACTAAATACTCTTAGAAAACTTAAAGTAAATACATATTTCCTTCAATCTTCATCATCTTCTCACCTATCCAAAAAAAAAAAAAAAAACTTAAAAATCCTAAACAAATCTAGACACATTTAGTTAAACAAATTATTTTCTCTTAAAAATATTAATAATAATATTTAAAAGCTTGAAACACTTTTAAATCCTAAACAAATCTAAATACAATCCTCATTCTATATAAACTTTCTCCAAAAACACAGATTTAAGCATTACTTTCTTTCCTAAACAAATCTAGACATTTAATTAAGCAAATTATTTTCTCTTAGAAATATTAATAATAATATTTAAAAACCAAATTTAAGCATTACTTGAAACTTAAACAAATTATACTCCCTTCGAGACACAAATTTATTAGAATCCCCTCACTGAAATAAACAAATTATAATCCCTTCAAAACACAGGTTTAAACAATATTATCATTAAAGGTTTAAAACTTAAAACTGAAATATATTATTATCCCAAAACACATATTTAAACATTACATAAGACATTTTCCAAAAACGATATAAGTTTTACTTCTCCCACAATCTCAATAGTAAACTTCTTGTCTAAAGTTCTCATTCAATGTCCATAATTTTCTGTCCAATAACCAGTTGCACCCACTATAAACACAAACTTCTTCTCTAAAATTTTCATTCAATATCCATAATCTTCTGTCTAATAGCCAGTTGCATCTACTATAAGCACAATCCATCTCGGTCTCTCGTGCCCGCAAGCATCGAAAAAAATGCGTGGAATTCTGCCCTTGAAGATCGCTCCAAAGAGTTTGTAAGTCCTGGTTGACCCACCAGCTCAGGAATCAGTACCTGTGAAACTTCATCAACCTCCTTCTTCTGTTGGTCTTTCTCTTTACATTTATATGTTACTTTTTCTTTACATTTATATGTTGCACAAGTCTCAGGGACCGAGACCTGTAAAACTTCCTCAGTAAATTCCTCCTTGTGTTGATCTTCACAGTTGTAAGTTGTACAAGTTATCCTCTGCCCGTTCCTCTCTTGTTGGTGCCCCTCAAGCTGAAATTTCCCAATTTCGATTTCAGGCAGCAATTCCACCCTTGAAGATTGCTCCAAAGACTTTGTAGGTCTAACTTCTCCCAGAGCTACCCTTGAAGATTGCTCCAAAGACTTTGTAAGTCCAACATCTCCCAGAGATTCATAGACCGCTGAATATGAAACTTCCTTAACCTTCTTCTGTTGCTGCTTTTCTTTGGAGTTATGTGCTACACAAGTTGTCTTCTGCTCCTCAATCTGGAATTGTTGAGACCTAATAGATGGCGATGCACATACCCCCAGGACCGAAGTATAAAAATCTTTTGCTTGAGAAACAGTATTAAGTCTATGACATGTCCCCAGGTAGTTCACCACCATTCCAGTCGGAATATCCCATCTGAATAGAATTTTTCTCTTTTTAAGTTCATTTACTAGAAAAACAAACTCCTTTCTTCTTCTTAAAATTTTAGATGGGATCTCCTTAAAAATTATGACATCTTGTGAAGCAATTTGAAATCTCTTCTTATAATAGGCTTGAACAATTTGATTGCGTAAGGATCTTTTACCAAAGTAAATTACCACATCTCTTGGCAGATTCTTCTGTGCTGCCACCACAGAGTTAACCCTAAATAATT